CGCTTACATAGATCCATCCACAAGCGATCTCAGCACTACACAGGATTCGTCGTGGGTTGCAGAGGTCGAGGAATTTAGGGTTCATGACTTTTGAGTGGTCCCTGTTTCGTCCAGAAAACAGGAGCAAAGGTTCACACGAGTTTGTGAACGATAGGATTTACTCTTTTCTAAAAACCGCAAACTTTGTTGTGCGCCCGCTATAGCGAAAATTCTCCATTCACGGATTTTGGTCCGGGAATGTGCTTCAGCTTCGACAAGAGTGTACTTTCATTACCATTGCCCACATGAAATGGTGAAGTCATCGCCATTGATCAATGCCGTTTTGGAACGCGGCAACCGTTCTACTTCCATTTAGAATCGTACTGGCTTTTGAATCTGGGCACGCCATCGGCTGTGATCATTTCCTGGAAAATACGACCACCTAGTTCCCTCCTCAAATACGACCCCTCCTACGTAGATTTTCCCCACTTCCTAATTTCCAATTTTTCAGCCAAGAATATTCCGTCGAGCGTGGGGTAGGGGGGAGGTCGTCAGGATTTAACTATCATTTTCAACTATCGGAAATAGTAGTTGTATAGATCTTTGGCAGTCCCTCTCCAACAATAGCCAAATACTAACCCCTCCCCTTATAGCGTCCGTATACAAAGAAATCAACTACCAAAACCTTTTCTCTCACTTCAAATACGATCCTCTTTTCCTCACGGTCAAATACGAGACCCCCCGTTGCGATCATCACGATTGCATGCCCTGTATTGAATGCGATGTGGCCCATACAATGATTTGCGGGGGCCAGCCCATGTACGAGTCAGTGTTGATATCCCAGACGAATCTGTGCTACGTCACTTGTCACGGAAAGTAGAAGGCCTGGTTGGCCTGGGCGTAAGTCGACCCAGGAACTGAACTCAGGGCCGCGCGAATAGTAAGCGTGCCACTACACAATCCTCGGCTCCCATTGCCCACATATCGACCTCCAACACCCGTGGGAAGGCTGCAACAGTCGTCTTCTATTTGTGATAAATGTGGAACTGAGGCAAGGGTGCGCTAATTAACCTCTATGGAATGCGTCACGCACCCGATTTCCATTCAAAACTGAATTGACATAAGATTCGGGACGCGTG